CCCCCGGAATCCCCCCCCAACCCCCCCGCCAGAGCAAAGAGGGGACCTGGCAACCCTAGTAGATAAACCCAGAATACCTATTAATGAGAGGAACTATACAGAATCCAGACAAATTTAGAATGTGTAAAAAAAAAACCCATTTATCTACATCTCTCCAGAGCAACTGGATGCTGGACTACGTGGACCACGGGGTTTGATCCAGCAGGTCTCTTCTTATGTTCATATGAATTATAACAACACAGAAAGCAGGTTGAGTCTCTTGTCTTCAACCGCTGCCAAGCTACTAATACTACACAGCAACAGATCAAGTTGCAGCAAAACACAAAATAAATCACGGTGGGTCCACAGTTGTGCAGGCTTGATGTATGGTCCATCTTCCAACTTTAGAGCTGGTCTGGAGAATGGAATTTGAAAACAGTAATGTTTCGCTTTCGGTCTCCATACTGTAAGCTGATGGGGAATGGCCTGCAAGACTGGAACCATAAACTTGATCCATCTCCTTTACCCTTAACACTCTCTTGATAGTATGGCCCCTAGCATAATGACAGGCACAGTATAAACAATGACTGATAATGATGGTTAGGGGTGCCAACTTCCAGGTGGTGGCCGGAGATTTCTTGGGATTACAACTGATCTACAGGCGATGAATTCACCTGGAGAAAAATGGATGCTCCCCAAACCCCACCCTCCTTAGGCTCCACCCCCAAAGTCTCCAGGTATTTCCCCAGCTAGAGCTGGCAACCCTAAGAAGGATTCCACAAGGCTCTGAACTGTTCTACCTCTAGATTCAGATTGCTTACTAATTCTTACCTGAAGGGTTTTGACTTTGCCTAGAATGTTGTCCTGTGACATTGCTTGAACAGACTCTTCACTCTCTGCTCGCCCATCAGGTATGAAAATACTGTCATGGGAAAAGGCCCGTGTTCCCATACTATAACTGGAAGATCTGAAAGATAGGCATGGATAGGGTTTTATTTGATAAAAGTGCCTCAAATGGCATGTCCAACCAAATTATAACCAAGCCCTTCCTCATTCCCTGCATTGTGTTCCCTAATATTTATTTTAATATGTGTTTCTCCCATTGTTGAAGGCTCAAAATGGGGGGAAACATATTTAAATTATATTTATTTTACAGCTGTTTGCTACATAAACATGGAGTAAATGGACATGAAAGATATTTCTGTCACCCACAAATCATTATCAGAGCAATCATTTGCCTCATTCTATAAACACACTAGTTTTCGTAGGCTGAAGTACAGAGTCTAATGAATACAGATGAATTCTCAATATCGATTACAAATGTATCCTGCCCTCCCTTTGTGAGCTGAGCACAGTGTACATGACCCCCTTTCTCTATTTTATCCCCACAAAAACTTTGTGAGGTAGGTTATGCTGATGCCATGAGATTGGTGAAAAATAACATTTTGAGTTGCCATGGGAAAGTTTGTTTAAATGGAAGAGAATGTTTAAATATGTTATGAAAGAGATTAGATAAATATCACCGTAAGATGTTGCTTTAGGTTAGCGGATATACGCGTTGCAACAGGTATATATGTTTTTGTTTTTTGGTTTTTTGGGTTTTTTATTGTTTATATGTTCCTGAAAACTAATAAAGAGAAATTATTTTTTTAAAAAGAGAGATTGGTGCAAGGTCTACAAATGAGCTTCATGGCTCAGCAGAGATTTGAATGTGGCTCTTCCCAGGCTGAGTCTTTCATACTAATCAGTATATCACACTGTGTGTCTGCAATACCTCCCTATGATACAGAAGTCTGTCACTGGAACAATTTCTTGAATATAATTTGAAATTTGGACTGCGACTGCATCTGCAAAAGAGTTTCCTGTTAATGCAGACTGAATGTTGTGAATGCAGTGTGAATGGAGAGTCATTCACATTGGCAATGGAGCATCCACATGGGAGTTTTCTGCATAACGTCCCTCTGTCAGCTGCCATTTTTCCTGCATTTCCCCAGCTGCACTGCCTGAGGTGTTTTTTTTAAGTAATTGTTATACTGCCATAGCATTATAGTTTCATAGTGCTATAGCAATTAGCATTTTTTAAAAAACCTACTGATGTGGAAGGGAAAATGATAGCCAGACAGCAAATGACAGATGGCAAATGGCACACCAATGTGGCTGGGAGTCATTATGCCTCTCTTTAGTGGTTGAATGCTTGTATGAAGTCAACAGAGGAGACGATGTGATGAGGTAACAAAGGGACAGGTACTCTTACGAATTAAAGTTGGAGTTTACCAAAGCCATAAATTTTCTCAGCTAAAATTTATGGTGGCAGAGACAAGAATGTTAATAAGCATGGCTCTTTTTGTAGCAGGAACTCCTTTACATATTAGGCCACACACCCCTAATGTAGCCAATCCTCCAAGAGCTTACAGAGCTCTTCTTAGAGGGGCTACTGTAAGCTCTTGGAGGATTGGCGACATTAGGGGGGTGTCGCCTAATATGCAAAGGAGCTCCTGCTACAAAAAGAGCCCTATGTGAACTTGCAACATTTTTCTTTTAGGGCACTGAATTAAAAACAGATGGGAGAGTAAACCATAAATATTTTGATTGTTCATACAGGACAGGGCTTTCTTGCCCCCTCGTTCCTACTGCAACCACTCAAAAGCTGCTCCTAAGGGTTCAGGGACTCTCTGGAATGCGATGGTGTGAGGTGGGAACTACTTGAGGTAATTAGGGCCCCAGGAGGGTTACTTGGCCTAGGCCCCAGTTTCAAAGGGGGCCTCCTGTTAATTTTTAAGCACTAAATATAGGGTCGCCAGTCTCCAGGGGGTTTCAAACCAAAGAGAGAGATCACGGGAAGGAAGTTGAGAAGAAGCAAACAACCGTGATGTATTATGCCAAAAAAGTCTCCAAAGACTAGAAATGAGTGTCACTATGAGATACTACTAGAGAGTTTGTCAAATGGATTAATATTGTATTTCAACGCTACCCACTTTGATAAAGTTATACACGAAACGAGATATAATATGCATGGTTCGTTGGTGTTGATGGCGTCTGAATTGCTTCCAGGAAACTGAATACTGGAAAAAGAAATGTCTAGTCTTTGGAGACTTTTTGGGTATAATACATCACGGTTGTTTGCTTCTTCTCAGCCTCCAGGTGGTAGCTGGAGATGTCCTGCTATTACAACTGATCTCCCTGTGACAGTTCACCTGGAGAAAATGGCTGCTTTGGAAGGTGGACTGCATATCTTTATAATCCACTGAAGTCCCTCCCCTCTCTAAACCCTGCCCTCCTCTGGCTCCACCCTCAAAATCTCCAGTTATTTCCCAACCCAGAGCTGGCAACCCTAATTCGATATGTTTCACCACTTGTCTTTATTCACATAATATATTGCCTTTAAATTTTTAAATTATCGCTATGGGCCTCAAAAGCTGACACAGCTACCCCATCTGATCTCTGAGGGAACCTGGGGGTACCACAGTCAGTTGAAAAAAAGAAATGTCTAGTCTGAGGGAACCTGGGGGTACCACAGTCAGTGGTGGAAATCAGGAATCCCTGCAGCTCACACAGGGTGTCCCCTGGAGGCCAGGCACACCCTGTGACCAACAAAGATATGGGGAAGAATTGCCTGAGAGAGCTGGAGCTTTCTTTGGAATTTTTCATCACAGTTCCTCCAACAGCTGAAGGGGTGGGCTAGATGTCTCACTCTTGGTTTTCAAACTATGCATGGTTAGAGCTTAGAAGCATTTATATCTCTGGCCAGATTACTGGTTCTACACACCACAGGCACATGGTCAGTGTATTATGCCTATTATCTAAAATTGTACTGATGAGCCCAGCTGACCCTTATATGAATTCCCAGTTAGGAGAAACAGAATAATGACAAAAGACGAATACCTCCCTTTGAGTATCCCCAGTCTATGATCTTTGACTCACTTTGTATTAAATTGAACAGAACATCAATCCGTAGATTAGTAGATTCAATCTCTCCTTCAAATATCTTTAGTTCTTTGCTATTCTGACATCTTATGTCCACCTCTGCTACATACATTGATGAGTTGTGACCCATTCTGTTCTGGGCACCTCTGTAATGTAACCAGATTCACCTCCAGTGACTACAGGGGATTTATTTGCACCATGCCCTTTGCAGTGCTCTTGCAGAATCCCAATCTAGAGCGTTATCATTGTTCAAAAAAGCTCAAGTTGTCACTTATTTTTAGAAGTGTAGAAATCTGCCTCCCCCTGCCATATTGAGGCATTCAGAAATAGAAACAAGAAAACAGAGAAGAAGGTAACTTGCTGCAATGTCTTGATTATGGAATTCTCTTGAACCTCTGTGCCTTATTATTTATACCTTTTCTGGAAATAATCATTTCAAAATAAGAGCAGTTTGTAAGTACCATTTGATATTAAAAGAAGAACTCCAAAAATTAACAATGCACGTGGAACCAAGTGTATGCCTGGAACAGGCTGCTACTATAGGCTTTAACTATCCATCTATTTAACTGCCATGGTAATACCATGACAACAGTTGCCATGACACATATGAGTGACTCCTCAGATCAGTGTGATTACTTCATCTGAGGCTGAGTTCACACCTGCATTTTATTAGAAATTGAACATGGGCATTAACATGGTAGAATGTGCCTCTGACAGCAACAGAGTTTATAAATCCCTTTATTGGTAATCCCATGATTCAAAACAAAATTAATGTGAGAAAATGCTGGGGTAAGTGGTAGTATATAGATGGAGTACAGAAGCAGGTATTCTGTACTACACAACCAACTATACAGAAGATGGAAATGATTATTTTTTTTCATCCAGTTTGTGCTAGAGAACTTTGACTCATGTGTGTTTGTGTGTGTGTGTGTGGGGGGGTGTCGGTCCACAAATTGTTCCTCTATCTGCAGCCTTCTGCACCAGATTCCATAGTATTTACAGCTTTCCCACAACCTCAGAAGAGTGAGGCATGAAATACTGTTCCAGGAACAGAACTCTTTGGATCTCACCAACGTCTACTTATTTAATAAGAATCTACACAATAGATACAAGCTACTTGATGATCATTTGCACGCGCACAGTGTCTCTGTTCACACATAAATATTCATCATTTCATCTCTTGTTACCTGTTCTCTCACTAATGGATGAATTACAGCTAAATGTGTGAACTGAATGATTGATTTGAGATGGCTCATTCTGCACATGGATGGAGTGGTAATGGCTTCCTTTCTACTAATATCATGAGATGACAGACAGGGATAAAACCACAAGGACTTTTATTGAGCATTATCCATTGTGGAGCGAGTTGCATCAAAGAGAAATGGGATTGTTCTCGCTGGACCCCTGTGACTGAGAAAGCTGCATGACAGACGGAAGTAACTGGTGCAACTGTCCCCTTTCCCACATCTCCATTCTGGGTAATGCTTGCACATGAGCTCTGGAAGACAGAGGAGTCTTTCTACAATGAAAAAAACAGGTTGCTTACCAGTAACTGGTGATCTTCGAGTGGTCATCTGTGCATTCACACCAATGGGGTTTAGTGCGCCTGCGCTGACCCAACCGGTGCCGTAGCAAGCTATGTTTCAAAGGATTTTCGCGCGAGTCCCACTGAGCATGCGCAGGAACCCCAGCACGCATGCCCAGAGGGGACGGGCGTGGAGATCCCGCCAGTTCGAGCGAGTTGCATCAAAGAGAAATGGGATTGTTCTCGCTGGACCCCTGTGACTGAGAAAGCTGCATGACAGACGGAAGTAACTGGTGCAACTGTCCCCTTTCCCACATCTCCATTCTGGGTAATGCTTGCACATGAGCTCTGGAAGACAGAGGAGTCTTTCTACAATGAAAACGTGACCTTCCCAACCAAGGAACAACTGTGCTCGTTTCCTTCCAGCCACTGCTACAGCACTAGGTCTTGTTTATGTGCTGCATAGCCCTGGAGGTGGGAAACATCCTTTCCGCTGTGCATTTTGAATGGC